GATACTATTATAAGACATGACTTAACCCCGATCCTTTCAAGCAACGGAAGATTTTGGTATGGAAGCAGACTACTTGACATAATGAAATGCGAGGGGATTAGTTTCTCATAAACGTTCCAACAAGGCAGCAATCCCTGTGAATGAATTACAATTCAGGATGTTTTCTGTTGATTTAGAACACAATTTGTAAAGTAAATAGCTGTTTTTCAAAGAACTCAAAAAATCTTTATCTTTAAAATTAATATGTGATGGATGTTTAATATCTTTTTATGCTTTATACGATTATGCTTCCTTTTCATATTTCAGTAGAATAATAATATTTTATTTCAAACCATAACATTTTCAAAAGCTTCCCTGAAAATGCATTTCTATCTATTTAAAGGAAAAAAAAAAATCAACTTAAAAAGAAAAATCTTTTAAAACAGCCCAAATTGTCCAACAGATAATGTCTGAATACAAGAAACTTCTAATAGCTACATTTGCTATTACGGAGGGTTCTTTTGCTGTCGTTGAAAATGTAAAACACTAGTACAAACACTGGCACAAAGTCAGTGCTCTCTGAAGTCTACTCAGTTCAGAAATAAGCTGAAATCACTGATTAAATTGCAGTGAGGAAATAAGGACAGAAAAGCCTTCAGCTCCCTCTCTACTGATAACAGTAGTGGTTATTTGTTTTTGGTTTTAGCTCAAATAACTTATTAAAAAACATTTCCCTTCAACATTGTTAATTACTGTAACTACTCTTCTAACCATTATTCTGGTTATAAGAATCATTCCTGCCACCAAAATAAACTGCTACTTAATTGGGCAGTGAACAAATCACAGCATTATATCTCTTTTACCAGCTGGACAGCACAGAAGTGATACGGTTGCAACTGTGTATGCCTAATTCTTTATCAATCTCACACACAGCATTGAGAATCCTCAGAAAGTGGAAAGGCTGCACGCCTGGATTAGGAAAAACTGTTAAGCATACCGCTGCTCAGTAGCTTGTCCTGTAGACGCGTAACACTTGGAGTTTTACTGAGCCATTTGGCTGAGGAACCGTTACTCCATTGCTCTGTAGAGATCAGCTGTGCAAGTCCTATTTGTAGCTACCTTTCCTGGAGACTGTGTGATCTGTGCTTTCTAGGAAAGTTACTTTGAATCTTCCTGGTTTTATTTTTATAATCTCTATCTTTGTTTTGAATTAACTAAGAATTGTGTGGAAACAAAGAAGAGATGTGAGCTTATTACCCTCAGACTACCTTTCAGACTCATCAGGTTTTCTGATGAACAGTGGAGGAGATTCTTGCAAACCAGCACAGGACATAAGTGCACCGTGTGCATGCTTCTGAGAAAACCCCCTCCTCTGAGCCACTCCTTTGCTTGCCGATGTGAGTGGTGTGTGGGGCAGGACCCTGCCTCTGGTGGAGCCGCAGCTCAGCCCAGCCTGCTTCTCAGGTCCTGCACCGCTTCCAACACATAATTTCACAAGCTGCAGCCAAATCTTGAAACAGCACAAAGCCCTTCTGCACTGCGTCAGTGTTTGTAGGTGAAGTGAGGTGAGAGAAGGGGGGTTAAAGTTGCCTGTTTCCAGAGCAGACTTTCTCCTCCTGCAAGAGGAGCCTCAAGGAGAACCTGAAGGCACACCAACCCAGTTTGGTGCCTCTGAAAATTCCCGTGCACCTATCTTTGTCCAGGCCTTATGGAGGATCAGCGCCTTCATAAAAAGCCCACAGGCTCACAAACAACACACACTGTCAGTTCCACCAAGATGAACAAAGCCTGGCTAGAGACCTGGACACGATTTAATGATGTGTCATGGATATCCGAGCTGCTATTGCCCTTGCTGAACATCTCCAACATGTAACTGAGGGCTGGCTCCTTTCAGAGCTTCCCGATTCAGTATGTTTTGCCAGTACACTATTTTTTTCCCCACTGAAACAGAGATAGAAGGCATAATGCAAAAATAAATGTCAATGAGGGGAAAATGTAAGATAGACAAAGTTAAGGACAATTTTTCTTCTCAATTATTTGATTATTATGTATATTTAATATTCTGACCCCAATCACTGGTTACAAATTCCTGTCTGGAAAAAAAAAACACCAATACAAAAAGCAAATTATTGCCTGTTTCATCCAAATAATTTATTTCTGGCCTCCCCAGCCTTTGTACAAACTGCTGCTGATTCCCTTTTACCACTGTCATCTTACCCCTTTCTAGAAAAAACTCTTAGAGGCCACAGACAGTTGAATTATGGAGCAACTAGTCAAATCTGCACTTGCCCTTCCTACTCCCAAACTACCAGGATGGTTAATCTGTTCTAACTGTTAGCTGTTGTTTCAGAATTATAATAGTAAAGATACAGGCACTTGGCAGTTCTTTTTAGCAAAATTTTCTTATTTATGTTATGATTTAGACACAAATACCATAGTGGCAATTTTTCAAAGGCAATAACTTGCCACTAAGAAATTGTATATATTGATTGTCTGACACTAAACATTTTGAATCTTAGGCTATTAGCACAAGAGAACCATAAAAACCTGATGCTTTCACTGTTCTGCAAAAATTGTTTCATCTTACCAAGTCTATTACACATACCCTGCAGATTTCAACTCGAGACTAAAAATGCCCAATTAGCTTAAGAAAAACTGTTTTCCAAGTATATACGCATATGATTTCTACAAAGGCTATACTGTTATGACATAAAAGGGAATAGCATCAAATAAGTTTTCACAAAGAATTGCTTTTCTGAAACATTTTAAACCCACTACCACCTTTGAGACAAACATTCATGTATTGTCCCACAAAATTCTCACACTGCATGCCAGTTTAGAATGTAACTCATCCCACCAATGAAACCAGTAAAAAAACGTCATTAGATCAATGCGCTGGGTTTGTGTGAGTGGTGGGGATTTTGGTAGCAGGGGAGGGGGCGGGGACTACAGCAGAGGCCCCATGTGAGAAGATGCTTGAAGCTCCCCTGGCTTCAAGACAGACCCAGCTCTGCACAAAGCCAAGCCTTGCCCAAGCTGCGCCTCTGCAATAATGTATTTAAGAAGGGGACCTGGGGAGAGAAGTTGGAGTTGTGAGGACGAGTTGTGAGATCTATGTAAACCCTGATATCAGTGGAAAAACAGAGGAGGAAAGAAGGGGAGGTGCACCGGAACAGAGACCTCCCTGTATCCCATTGTGAGACAGTAGGGGCCATCCCCCCGTGCCACCCATGGTGGTCCACAGTGGAGTAGATGCTGACATATGGTCTGTGGAGCAGATGATTGCATCCGAAGGAGGCCAGGACTCTATGGGAAGAAGCAGCCCCTGCTGTTATAGTTCAGCACTGGAAGGGAGGATTGCAACACGCAGGGGTGACCCACACTGGAGTAGCTAGAGAAGTGTTGCAGTCCATGGGAGGGACTTATTTTGGAGAAACTTTATGGAGGATTCCTTCCTGTGACAGGGCAACCACGAGGGAGCAGGGGAAGAATGAGAGGAGTTCCCCCCACCTTGAGGAGGAAGAAGCGGCAACACTGACTGCATCCCCCATTCCCTGCCCCCTGTGACACCGAGGGGAGGAGGTAGAGATATCAGGAGCAGAGCTGAGCCTGGGAAGAAGGGAGGGGTGGGGAGAGGGTGTTTGTAAGATGTGGTAATGTTTCTTTCTCACTGTCCTACTCTGTCCCTTAAGTGTTGTTGTTGTTGTTGTTAAGGTCTGAATTAAATTTATGATCTTTTTTCTTCCCCTAATTAAAGTCTAAGGAAGGTCTTTTGCCCATGACCATAATGGGTGAGTCATTCTCACCCTGTCCTTATCTCCATTCCAAGGCCTTTTGCTTTATTTTCTCTTCTCCTGAGGGGGAGGGGGTGAGTGGCTGCATGGTGCTTGGTTGCCCTCTGAGCTTAAACCTTGACAGTCCTATTATAGCTGAAAACACATAACTGAAAACTTTAAAGCATTAATGAATTCAAACTGCAGTTCCAGAGTTTTCAAGGTTAAATCCAAATGCTCTTAAATTCAAAGAAGTCAAATTAACTTCCATATAAACATTCTTTTTGGCATCAATGCTTTTTCAAGCTTGATGTGGGAGTATTTCCAGCTTGATTTCAGTTCCTTTGTTCAGACCATGACCTATTTCCAAGCCAGTTCTGTTATAAGAAGTATTCTGGCCAGAGCAGCAACACAGACATCTTCCTTTCACTTTTTTTTTTTTTTTCTTTCCCATTTCTTTTATTTTTAATGAGAACATTTTAAGAATGAATTTCATTAAAAAGACTATCAGAGACTTCCCTTCCTAATATTTTACATATTCACTTACTTTTCAAATGATGCATCCAATGCTGCAAGTGCTTGCTTCTCAGCACTTCTCTTTGCCCTAGACATCACAATTGGAGATAGTATGATATATCCCTAGCAACATCAGTGGGGTACATTATTACAGCCATTCTATTCTTTGATAGACCACTAAAACTGAAGCATATTACAAAATAATTGCTTCCTCCTCAAACACAATTCTGCAAAAATTATACTGCTTGTCTGTGAGGAAAGAGGTACCTAAACCAGCTCCTGTCTTGTACAAGCACCTGGGACAACTACAGTGTGGCAAGTGTGCAGAGGGCCAGTACAATACCTGTGTGATGGGGAAAAACAGTCATGATCCTGAACAGATTTACCACCAGTGGCAGGATAGCTGTAAATTGGCAGCAGACAAGTGACGTGCACTGTTTTATATGATGTAGTAACATACACTGGCCTCACCTGGAGAGGTGCTGTTACAGGAACTAGTGCACACAGGCCTTTGCTAAAACCAATAGCTTAATGTTTTAGGCAAAACAACAAAAGGCTGAAGATTACATTATTAAATCTAATCCATACAGATTGATCATGGCACTGTTCTGACTTACATACTTTATGTACATTTTATGTATGAAAATAAAATAGCATAGTTTCATACATCCCAGATCTCATTAACTCTTTAGCCAGGGGAATTCAATCCCGTATAATTTGGATTTACTATACCTCACTAAACTGTTGGCAGTGTCAGGATCTTGTGCTGTTACTGTGCCAACAGCAGTCCCAATCTTTGCATTTTCATAAACTTCCATGACGTAGGAAGGCATAGTGAAGAGTGGAGGTTCATCCACATCGCCAACAATGATCTTCAGCATTGTTACATCTTTGAATGGTCCCAAGTGCGAAAAGCGGAAATCAAGGTGAGTATTTGCTCCCTCAATATTAAGTGTATATGATTTCTTTTTTTCATAGTTGAGAGGCTGTTGGCAGAAAAAAAAGATTTATTAATGACATTCTGTGCTTCAGATTAGATTGCAATCAAACTAACTACATCTTTTCCACTTAAACCATATTTCTTCACATCGCTAGAAAGGGAAAATATTCTGTGGTATTCTGGCAGCTAATGCCATAACCCTGTAAGTAGAAGGATATACATGAAGCAGGGTGGATTCAGGTTTTCTCTACAACAGAATTGTGGACATGGTACCAATTCTGGAAAAACTCAGATTTTAGTATGATCTGCAGATTCTTCTGTGATAATGTTATGTCTCTGGACTTTATCAACTTTCAGTTTTTATTGGTCAATGTTAAATGCTGAAAAAGGTAGAGATTGATGTATCCCAAATTAAGTTAACTTCGTATCTTTAATTAACAAATTTAATAGACAGTGATAGGGATAATAAAATTCTTTTGGGTATCACTTTTCTTAAATCCTCAACTGAAAAATGCAACTCCTTGAAGAAAAACAATCAGTTATTATAAGAAACAGGAACTTAAATGTGTAAGAATAGCCTAAAGATATGCTTGTGTGCTTTTCCAACTTTTCTAATCAGAAAGGGTGCATCCCTATATTCTAGACCATTTTCTCTTCAATTTTTCACCAGCAACAAGACAACCCTTCAGCTTGTTTCATCATGTACTTCTGTGCTGTATGTGGATTATGCCAACATAAATGGGAAGAAAGTCTGTAGTTGGGAATATGCCTTCTACACAGGGCCTAATGTTCCAATAAAATGCCATAGAAGGCACATCTCCAGCTGCACCATCCACCAGAAGCACCACTGTCACTTTTGCATTGACCTGTTATTTAAATCAATAGATTTCTGCTAGGAATCCTACCTCTCTAGTAGGAAGGAAGAAGCTGGGGTTCTGACTCATATATCACACAGCATGGATACTTTTTCTTAGGAGTCCCACTTCTAGCTTGCTATTTACAAAATGAAAATTCCATCTCCATAATTCAGCCGGTTTTCAGATTATTGTAATTTTACCAACTTGATATATTTATTTTAACCCTACATTAGCATGCTATTACAGTCTCATGCCAGATGTAAGACAAACGTGACACACCCAACTCTCAATTCTTCCAGTGTCAGACAGTCACGTAGTATAGGGGACTAAAAGGATATTTAAATTAAAAGTACACAAGTAATGAAGTTCCATTAGCAGAATTAAACATTGTTTTTACTAGGAGCCATGTTTACAGGACCACCACTATTTTGAGTTGGTTTCTTCAGTCTCACTAAACTAACTGATCATAGACAGCCCAGGCAGTCAAAGAACAGATTTCAAGTTTCAGATTGCTATTTTTCAAATGTGCTTCAATGCTGAGCAAAAGCACTCATTCTTGATAATAGGTGCCTCAGTACTTACTGGGTTACAAATTTCTGGCTTCAGCCAATTTACAAAGGACAGCCAGGTTAATATTTATTATCATACTGAGCAAAGCAAGTAGTTTGTACAGATATATATAGACTACCACTAAGTTTCCAACAGTCTCAGAACACAAGCATTATATTATTAGAAGTTGCATATGTATGGGTTTGTTTTTTAGAATCGAAATTATGACGACATTATGGCATGGCAAAATTCCAATACGAGCAGTATCACTCTGCGTGGACCTGACAGCCTGCCTGAACAGAACTCAGTATAAGTATTCAAGCCTTCGACCAAGGCTAAACTGGTATTTCCTACCACCCCAAAGAGTAGAAAAGTAGTACTTACGGTAAGATATATGGGAAACTCAATGTGTGATTTGTCAAAGTCAGTGGGTATTTTCTAGATAAAATCTACAGTATATTTGACTGATGATGTGTAAGAAAAATAGTTGGTCAGGATTTATATATGCTATATATTTCTTTGATTTCTCCTCTGTGTATTGAAGGACAATTAATTCATTCTCTTAACTCCAACAGTGTGAGACTTTTTTGTATTTTGTTTTCTCTGTCTACCTTTCCTGAATGTAAAAATAAAAAATTTAAAGGCATGGAAATTTACCATAGCCTGATAAATATATTACTATAAGAAAAAGAGCTAATTTCTCAATTAAATCAATTGATAAAAAAATATAAGTTTAGTAAATGCTAACTTAGATGATGTTCATTAATTTATGATGTATTTCTGTTATGGGCAGGGAAATATTAAATAGCAATTTGCATTATTTTTCAGCATATATATTCTAAGATTAAGCAATAGGGTTGCAAATTGTAACTACGATGTCTTTTTGGAAAATTAACAAGTTTATACTGACAATGACTTCATTAGGTTGCATAGGAAAATTAATTTCTCCCAGAAAACACATGAGGAATAACACAAAGTCTTGTTTTCTTTCTTTTTTGTAGTTATTCATTCAGACAACACCAACAGTTTGTTTGTTTGTTTTTTGTTTAAAAATACAAGAATAATCCATTCAAATAATCAGAAAAGGCTGACATTTCAACCATAGCCAAAGCAGTTTTATACTTTCATTTTCTTTCTTCTTCTTCCCATAACATCTCTGACTTTAAGAACCAGGTATTAGGACATAATGGAAAAAGAGTTTACTCTCCTGGACTGTGATTCACAGAGGTTAAGAAATGACACTATTTCCAACACAGATATTTTAGACAGAAAAGACACATACTGTACTAAGGATTACTATTACTAGGGGTCACAATTAGTATCTTTTTTTTTTTTTTTTCTGCCCTGAGGAAAAGCAAGGAAATATACAAGCAAAGCAAGCCCTTTGATATTCCACATCTTTGAACAACTCACATGTCCAGTTGTTGCATCACTTTTCCTTTCGCTTTTGATAAAATATTAAAAAACCTGAAATCTTGATGCAAGTTGAAATACAGAACTGTATTTTGATGGTCTTCCACTTAAACTGTGCGTGTGTTAAAATTGACATTTGTCTTACATTTCAAGAACAAATTAGGTCCCCATTTATAGCCTGTTTAATGTTGTGCTAAGAAATTTACACATAAAATCATGCACTATTTCAGGTAATTTGAGATGTTTATCAGGAGGGTTTTACTCCTTTTTTTTTTTTTTTTTTTTATAATCTATTTAACGTAACATTTAGCTTAAAATACCTAAGGTATTCTGATCTCGCAAGAGTTCAGGCATAAAAATTATAAAGCAAAATAATTTATATTTACAAAGGAAATATTTCAACTATCCTATTAGATTCACAATATGACTTACTTAAGTCTAAAGAACCAAACAGGAAGATGTTTCTCTGTCCTGTCTGACCCCTTGCACTCTCCAAGAGAAGCAAATACTCAAATAAATGACTTCTAAAGATGTTCACCTGTAATGTGTAAAACCTCAATGTAAATTCTCCCTCATTTAACTCACAGAACAGCCTTGAACATGAGTCGCCTATCTCAGTCATAAACTGTGTAAGATGAGAGGCAGCACTTTCCTGTCTCTCTAGAAATCTAGACCATTTATAGACTTACTTAAAATTGTCCCAACACTGAAGATCATTAATTTTTTCCAGGAAAGAAAGCAAAAAAATTAAATTTTAGATGGACCTACCAGAATTTTTGTTCATGTTTCTTATTTTCCCAAAGAACAATGTCTTTCCATGACAATTACCCACATAACTTCATTTTGTATTTATTGGTTATTATGATATTTATGCAAAACTGAAAATACTAAATGTAGCTCAAGTGACCAGTCAGAGGGCTAACCAGAAAATACTGCTATTCGTTATGCTACAATTTGTGTTTCTAACATCAGATTCCCCAAAATGATAGCAGAATTTTATGAGAAGTAAATAGCTGTTTCCTGAGCATTTCCAGTCATCTTATACAAAATGGAAGAGACATGGGCTGCTCAGACCATTTTTTCTGGGAAACCTGAAAGATACTTGATGACTTGAGGTCAGGAAAGTTCTAGCATACTTCTCTGAAAGTCACAACAAGGGGGGAACATGCCAACCAGTCATTCTCTGAAAGATCCAGAGAGTAGTGGCTTTCACTGTGTTGGTCTTTTGTTTTGTTTCCTTTAGTCTACCACTCAAACAAGGACTTGCAAGGGGCAAAAGGGAAACCCTTCATGGCAGTTTTCAATCAACCCTTTGTGGCAGGATCTTTGAGTCTGAAGGGTGGCTCCACAGGCCTTGTCAATAGGGCAGATAATGAAAGTACTGGATGTTTTGGGTCAACCCAGAATGAGACTAGAAGATTTCTTCCAGCACACACAGACTTTGCCAGCCTGTTGAACAGTGTAACATGGAGGCACTGAGAATTTTTTTGTTTTTTTTTTTTTTTATCAGAACCTCAACTAACTAAAGATTCAGAAGTTTTGAGATGGAAATCTTCAGACACAATAATATATTTACTTCTAACTTTTCTGATGTGCCTACTATACATTCTTCTAGAGAAGTACTAGAGGACAAATCATTCTATTCTACTGTTATAGAAGGTACTGGCATTTGATATACCAAAAAGTCCTGATTCTGTTCTTAGTGGAGATCATCTGTTTCAGGTAGGCTATCAAACAAATTCAGCTTCAAACCCAATCTATATTAAAAGTAATTACAGCACACAGTATATAAAATACTTATTAAACTGCATACAAGATCTGAGTAAAAAAACAATTAAAAAAATTAGATTGCCTTTTTGTACTGTACAAGGGGTTACTATAACTTCTGTGAGGAAAGAATGGAGGTATTTCACACCAATTTATGTAGATTAAAGTGCTGATTTTCTGCTCAACTGAAATATAACACTACTTAAGCAAAATGTACCCCTTCTTGTCTTGATGGAAAAATGACTCAAATCAGTGTCATGTGTATGTATAAGAACAGGCAACATATGGTTTTGTCATATTCCAAAACACAGAGAAAATTTCTCTGAAGCTATTTTGTCTGCCAAAACCAGTAAGAAATGTGATTTCAGACTTTTTATGTATGGACTCTTTCATTTTGTTGTAGATTCTTTCTTTCTGCTTCATGTTCTCAATAAGTATAAATGTCATATTTAATGAACAATAGTCATGCCGAACTTTTAAACAGAGAACAATGCTCATTTTGAAGAAGAAATAACAGATTATGGCATTAGCTACATCAAGACCACCAGGAAATAAATTCAGTGCTATAAAACAGAGTTTACTTTTATGTGTCTGAAAGAGGTAGGTATTAGACAACCTTTATAAAAGACACTGAACTAAAGCTTTTTTAGATACTGGGAGAGATAGGAACCCTTTTTCAATCATTATGAATTATGGAAATAACAGTTCATTCAGTTACAAAATCTTTTTTAAGATTTTAAATAAAAATTTGCATACATACATTATCTATTCAGATGCAAAAAAGCCCCAACATTCTTTATGCTAGTTTTTATTTATTCTCTTTTGCATGCTTTCTCTGTTTTTAACTCCTCCTACTGTTAATCAGGCCCAGAATACATATTACCAAATATGAATACAAATTCACTTTTATTTTTTAGGCTGTATAGATATAATTGATGTCTACAAGATTCAATAACAACAAATCCATGTGAGTGTTGCTAATTGATGTCTGGTAGTCCAAGTTAAAACTGAAATTAAGAAAATATTTCCCTTTGTTGGAAAGGGTTTTTTTAAAAAATGTTACTAAAATATAATAACCCATCTCTCTGGGTTATTATACAAGTAGATTTAAATCTAGCTATAAAATATTAGCACAAATTGGCAGACAATTCAGGAAACGTTCACTATGAATTCAGTTCAGAGGACTTAAGATGGGAATGGAATTATCTATGGAATTAGATTTGTGCATGGAATTCAGTTAAGAATGAAATTAAATGACATGAACACTTTATAATTAATAGTTTAAATAGACTGGGATAAATATAGGAAATTCATATAAATGATAACTGTGTGACAGTTTGAGCACTTACATTTTGAGTCTTTATAAGCAAGTCGGTATTTACATTACACAGTGCACAATACTTGACCATTTAGATACCTGATGGTAAGTAAGTCAAAGAATAAAAGGCTATGAGAACTGAATTATACATTCATTGCCACAGATGGACTTACTATGTCAGGATTTGGCCAGTTTGGGGACAACTTTTAGCCAAATTTTACTTCTTTCAAAGAAATCTAATATGTAAAACTATTATTCAGAAAAAATAAATGATCTTAAAAAATCAGTAAGATTTAGTTTATTCTAAATATTAGATATGAGCACAGAATATTTAAATAACTGTTTCTTTCCTCTAGTTTTTTTTCTCCCTGCCTTTCCTGCAAAGATTTGAAGTGTCTCAGAAAGCAGTGTGGAGAAGTTTACACAGCTGAAGTTAATGGTTCAGTAGGTTTACACAGTAAAATATTTTCCTTGTGGTATCTGCTTATTCAGCATTCATTATCATATTTTAATTATATGCAGAGGGAACTTTCAAAGTCTATTGCTTACCTTCTTCAGGGAAAGAATTCCCTCCCTTGTTTCTTTGTCAGTAGATATGGAGAACACCCCAGAGCCATCACCATTTATGATCGTGTACTTCATGTCCGCATTTGAACCAGTGTCTGCATCATTTGCTTTGATCTTGCCAACAGCTGATCCAACTTGAGCTGATTCAGGAACATAGAGTTGGTAATGTTCTGAGGGGGAAGAAAAACAAAACACAGGAGCTTGGACATATTCTAGCCAAACTAAATTAGGGAACCACTTGATACACTTCTGAGTAAATGGAAGAGTATTTCATATGCAAAACTGACACATAAGCCTATAAACTTATTTAGATTCCTGAAAGAATTCAAAAGGGAATTGTACTTTATTTGGGATGCCTTCATTCCCTATTCAAAATCCAAATTACCTAATGCAGGTTTTTGGTTTTCACAGTTATTTTTGCTGTTCATTACATAACACAGAAGTTAAGTCTGAAGGTTACTTCACACCAGTACTTTTAAAAGTTTATCTTCTCTATAACCAAAATATATTTAACTTCACTAATTTACCATCAAATGACTAGTCAAAAGAGTACTTCTGAACTGAAAATCTCTGTATATTTATAATTTGTTTTTCTGAAATCCTATCAGTTTTGCAACATCGCATCAGTATTTTGTAACATTGAATCAATATATATTTTTTCCTACAGATAAATGTAATAAAACTTAGTATTTTACCATTATCACTTTGTAGTGTTTTTGTTGCAGCACTAAACCCCTTGCACACCAATTTTAGTTGGTATCCATGGTAAAGGAAAGTGATGAGTACATTAAACTATTACACAATTGTGCCCATAAAAACCATTCGTAACAAGTATGACCTCCTTTCAGTGTTTTTATAACCGGTTAGGTTAATCATTAGAAAATTATATGGTTTTTGAAAGATAATTTTCTTTACTGTCTCTATCCTTTTGTATTAAATCTCCTAACAGGTACAAAGTTGCCTGGGGGACAGGAAGGTGCCACAAGGAGAAAAAAGTGGCAAACAGCCACAAACTGTTTACATAAACCTCAATTTCCATCTGAAACTAGGCCATAAAGACAGCTTAATGAAATTTTCTCCCAAAATGCTAGTGTTGTAACACAGCAGGGATGCTGAAACCTACCAGCACTGAAAGGGAGAATACACATTCAATAGAAAGTGTGCACACACCAACCCCCCCGCCCAAACAACCCCCCATCCAAATCCCTCTCCAACAGACTTCACACCTTCTATCATAGGTCAACCACCAACACAGAAGAGAGAGCAAAATAACAAATTCTGTTATTACATATCTTCTAAAACTCTGCAGAGTTTCTTCTACATTCCTCTTAGGCATTCTGTGACAGTGAATGCAATAGTGAAACACTGAGGTATAGGACAGTATATCAGAAGATGCTACAAGTCAAAGCTTATGAAATTATGAATCTACAGAAGTTGCAATTGCAGACGGAATGGCTGTTATCAATAAAATACAATTAACTAACTTTACACACCTGTTAGAAGATTTTATTACAAATTTGTCTAACTCCTAGCACAATGGTTCTTAAACCTATTTAGAGTATTGAATTATTTTTGTAACACTAGCCCATAATACTAATAAACAAATAGTAGTGTGAGAAAGATAGATAAGTGTACTAAATTTTGTTACTCCAAAAGGAAAGAGAGGTTTCCTAGGAAAACAAAAAATAAGTTACTATGAATTAGGGAAATCTCAAGGGAAACAAGAAGTGTCCAGCAGAATATGAGAAAAAGTATAATTTGCTATGTAAAAAGGAAAATACCGACAGTAATATAACAGGAAAATCTCTTTGTACTTGATTCAATTAAAAAGCATAGATAATTCTTTGATGAAATTCTTTTATATGCATATAAAAGCCACCTTCACAAATTTCCAAATAAATACTCTGCTATGCATTCTTTTACTATGCTTTGTGCTTATGGATGATGTTAACTGACACTTTCATATTGCTGCTTTCTTTATTTCATACATAAAATTATAGTGATGGGATAAGATTAATTTTGGAATTTACTTACTGTTAAAATAAATGTGGAAAGTGGTCTTTTGACACTTTTGCTCTGACTAATGCATTCCAAAAAGGAAAAGGTTGAGGCCATAAAGAATATATTATGTAGAGGCCATAAAGAATATGTTATATAACCAAGACTCTTCAGTAACTGGAAGTGTTATAACCCATATGATAGGGTGAACTAATTAGACAGTTCCAAATAGTCAAGCTAGTTCAAATATATCCATATGACACTACACTCTGCTTTATAATCACACCCCAAGTGTTAACCATCTGTTTCAGAAAATCATTTCTCTGATACCAGCTTCAAACATTCTGAAATACTAAAACTTCAAGCAAAACAAATACTTGAAATCACTTATTCATTATCTATCAGTATTTGTTGAACTGATATGTTTCAAAAAAAAAAAAAAAAAAGATGGAATTCAAAGAAAACTGTTAAAAACGTAAACTCTTAGATAAGAAGGTCAGAAATGTCTCCCAACAAGTGTTGAAACACTGGTTCACAGAGACAGCCTGAAGATGTCTCCTACAGACATGAGGCAAATATATAATTACAAACAATACTATCTAAAACCAAAAAACACGTAAGAGTATAAAATTAATTAACATGAAGATTAGATAAAATATAGACATTTCTTTAGACTACCAGTGGAAATTCGAACTCTTCTTACTAAACACTAAATCACTGTAAACTTTATTACTGGAAAGTAGAGGAACAAACTAAAGGCTCAGTTTGACATTTCCTTGGGCATTGAATAAATTTTGATAGAACCTTAAAAGTAATGTGGGATACATATGCTGTGAATTTATGATTCTTTATTGTGATCTATGAGTCTGTCTCAACCCTCTAAAAATTGGTTGGGAAATTAGGAGCCCTAAGGATCAGGTAACAGTCTGTATCAAAACTCTTTCACCAAATTTGCCGGAGTTGAATAGATTGTTCCTATGCTCCCAGCATTGTGGTCTTCCAGGAGCTGTTGTAAAGCAGAAATTTCAAACGCTCTTGGGGATGCTCTAAATTGTGCTAGAAGAGCTGCCTCGTGGCTTATGGATCAAGATTCTTTAGAGGTTGATTTGATTCTCAATTTTTGTGTGAACTTTCACTCAGATGCATTCACTTAGCTAATAAAATGAAATTAATACTCTTTTCCAGTTAATGTATTGTATAGGATAACCATACCACTTTTCAGGACTTTAACTGACTCTAACTTAAACATTTTTCAAATACATATACGGGATCTTCATCTTTTTTTCAATAAACTATATGACTTATCTGTCATTATAGTACAGAAACAATTTATTGATTTGCAGAAGAATTTACTTCTAATTTCAGTTAGCCTACAGGCAACCTATAATGCTGTGTTTTACTCTCACAAAAGCAATTTCTCTGAATCTCTCAAAAAAAGAAGTATGACAGTATTTAATGCAACTCAACAAGCATGTTACTCACTTTATTTTATTCATTATTTTATTTTACTGATGATTTTGACTTTTACAGGTTATAATGTCCTCTTGAACAGTAGGAATTATCTTACTTAACCAAGGGAGACAGGAGAGGCCTAATACTGATCTAATAGAAATACAAATATATACATGGCCTGCTTATTATTTGTCTATCCAAGGTACAGTTTTAATAACATGAGGATAAATACTGCTTGGTGATGAAGCAAAAGATGCATTCATTTATACATCACATCTTGTACACTGATGCCTTTCTCTGTCTACTAGAAAACTGATAAACAGAGAAACTGATGGCCTTAACATAAAATATCACCATACCCTAAATGTATATCAAAGTGCCATGTGAAGGTTTGCTTGAACCTACTATCTAAATACTCAGTCATGAGCCAAATTGATAAAATATGCAGAATAAATGGACAGTGAGCCAGGCTCAAATTATGATGATTATGAGCACAAAATTCAACTGGCAGCTAATTAACAGTAGTTGTTCAGGAATCAAAACTGTGGCCAAAACTATTTAATGTCTTAATTAATGACCTGAATGATGGGTTGCATGTACTTGCAGCAAACAAGCTGACAACACCAACTTGGGAAAAAGTGGTCAGTATGCTGGAGGGCAGTGCTGCTCTTCAAAGTGACCTGGACAGGCTGGAGAAATGGGCTGACAGGAACCTTATGGTGGGCAATGGCAGCACTGGGGAAGGAATAATGCCATTCACCAGCACACGCTTGGAGACAACCACCCATAAAGCAGCTTTACAGCAAAGGAACTGAAAAGGACCCTTCAAAACTTGACTAGTCAAGTCCCTTAGCACTTGATCTAACTGATCCTGCTTTAAACAGGACTTTGGGTCAGATGACCTTTTGGAGGTCACACATGAATCCATGTTCCTGGCATTTATGAAACTGTGTCTCACATTTTACTGCCAGCTGGCTTTGATAAAATAAAGTGCAGCTCCAACTGTGGACTGTGCTCAATCTTGCTTGGTGGCTTTCTACTACAAAGTTATTCTTCATTCACAGAGCTGATTGTTTTCATTACATGTAATAGATTATACTGGATTTCTCTTATGAAACTGCAGTTTTTTAGAATTTCATTTATCACAGTATGTCTTGGACTTTTGTTATATCTCTCTTTACTATGCTTATTTTTAATATAATAAAACCAATTTTATCCATCATCATTATGAATACTGTAACTTTTATGATTCCAGAAGCTCAGTCAATTCTATATCTACTGTCTTTGTTCTGAATATTCTTTTTGATGACAACATCCCTTTCACACAATGAAATTAAGGATGCAATTTCTAAGATGTGTGTTTGGCTTATTCTTCTTCCCTACCAAAAAAAATGTTTTTGCTCTTTCCAAAAATATTCGAAATGAAGTTATTTCTTATTTGTAAATATGACACTAAAACAATCAGACATTTTGCTTCCCCTGAAACTCTGGAGAACAAAACACTCGTGGGTCAATTTAGAAAAAAAAACATTTTTCGTAGATGCAATAGACTTCTTTGGCTGGAAGACGACTTGTGCATCCCCATGTCTCTGCTTTTCACATCTCAGTGAAAACTGGGAGTTATGTTTGTCGCTAAAATTATAATCAGTGAAGAGTTTCATTTATGTTCCATGCAACTTTGCCTTTGCAGATAGTAATTAAAAGGAACTGAGAACTTTCT